GCTTGAGCCCTGCCTGCCCCCCTCCCAAGCCCTGCCTCCCCCCCTCATGGGGCTGGCATCGCCAGTCACCTGTCCCCCCCCGGCCCCCCGCATGTTCCTCTGTACCTCATTTTTTTGACAAAAGTGGGCATTTGTCTCATTTGCTCTTGCCAACTGATCAAGCTTAAAAAAGGGATTGTCACCTGCCCAGCTAACCCCGTAGGAGCCTAAACTCACTCCGCACCTACATTTTTGCAGTACAGGTTTGTTGGGTGCCTCTGTTTCTGCCTTTGAACATTCACACTGCACCCTCCTGCTAGGCTGGAGCCGGTGCCTGGTAGGTGCGTTCTGAGCAACATGTGACTCTAGCCCTAAGTGATTTGCCCCAGGTCCACAGGGAGTCTATGGCAGAGCAGGGATAAAGGGTCTGTCTCTGCTTCACACTGGTGCTGGTCAGGCCAGTACCTTTTGACTGAACTGGGTCTAGATCAGGGCCCACGCGGTCACTGACGCAGCAACTCCATGTGTACCCAACCCACACTGATGCGAATGTAGCCAACATCAGGGATCAAACCTGTCATCATCCCTACCGTAAACCTCATACACACCCCACCTGAGCCAAAGGACCAACTCTGCAGATTGTCACTAAGTAGTCAGCTATCACAGCTGCTAAAGGAGACCCAATTCCCTGTGCTAAGCCAGCATGTCACCCCTCCACCCCCGCTCCGACTCCCACCTTCCTCAGCTCTCTCTCTCTCACCCCCACCACTTCCCCAGAGTCTGAACTCGGAAGACAGGGCAGTACATAGGTGCTGGAATTAGGGGTATAACCACAGTCTGTGGCTGGAAGTATACAGGTTTTACAGTTTGGTTCAATGGCTCTCAGCACCCCCACTATACAAATTGTTCTGGCACCTCTGGAGCCGTAGGGAGGGAAATCTGCTGTGGAGGCCCATGATCCCATCCAAATTCAGCCTGCTCCCTTCCCAGCCCAACTCAAGGGAATGGATGCTCCCCACGGCTTGAAAACTCCAGCCACCAGACAGCTCAGATACCGCTGTGATAGGCTCCAGAAGCTAGGCCAGGGTAAGAGCGTTCCCTGAGCCCAGGAGGAAAATCAAGGTCTTTTTACCAGACAGGAAGGAATGAAGGTGAGCTCCTTGAGTCTGCGGGAAATCTCCAGGGCTCCCACCGAGATGGAGCAGTTTTCAGGGTTCCCCCCTGGTGTGTCTGCAATGGACCAGAGTTGCAGGAGAGAAGGGTGTGAGAGATCCAGGACTTTGCTCTTCATCTGACCCCACAAACCTCTTGTTTTCGCTTTATATCTCCCGCCCTCCTGGGATGCCCTTTGTGCTCAATAGTGAAGATAATCATTAACCCGGAGGGACAATCAAAGCTAGAAATATTTCCCTGTCTCAGAGGGCACTGCACCGTGACTGAGGGGCCAATGAACCTCAGACTTGCCCCACTTAACCCCCTCCTATCCCAGCCCTGTGTTCCCCCCAGCTCTGCCAACATCCCTCAATCCCAACCTTTAGCTCCCACTGCTGTTCCAGCCCTGGACTGCCCACTCTCAGCAGTGCCAGTGCCCCTCAATCCTGACCCAGAGCTACCTGCTATCTTAGTGTGGGTTACCTCCCACCCCCCAATCCCTGCTGCCCCTGGGCTTGGCTGCCAATGCCTCTCAATCCCAACTCATAGCCCCTCAGTGCCCCCTGCCATTCCGATCTCATCCTTTCTCTGGCTGTTCAGGGCAGGCTCTGTCTCCCACTAGGAGTGTATTCAGCACCCAGCGTGTTGTGGCATTTAACGGCTACCCTCATCTAAAAATAAAGATGAACTAGGCACCACATTTTCCAAGGTCTGAGGTGCTTACAATTGCAGCCAGGCACCTAGTGGGATTGGCAAAAGCTGCTTGCCCCTCGTAACCCCTTGATCCCACCACCAAGGGGTTAGCCTGAGAGCAGTCACACCTGTGCTCCACAGCCAGCCAGCTCCAGGGTGAAGTTCAAGGCCCTAATGGTGGAAAGACCTGGCTACTTCAGAGCCTGCTGCTCTCCCCTGCGCCAGCCTGGCCTGAAGCATTTATGACGCAGCGCTCCTCTATTTAATCTCTCTATCCATCCAGGTACTTTATACTGTGCTTATCTCCATGGGATCTGGGACACCATAGGAAGGTAATAAAGTCTGGTTCACTGTCACAGGGCCCTGTCTGTCCCGGTTCCTAGGGCTCATTAGTAGGCAAGAGTTTCCTTACTGAGAGAAAGCAAGGGCAGAGGAGAAGTCTCTGTGTTGCGAGGTAGTGTGGCCTAGCAGACTGAGCACAGGACTGGGCATCAGACCAAGATTCATGCTTCTATTCCCACTGCTACAACTGACCTGCTGTGTGATTTTGGCCAAGGCCCTTGCCTTGTTCCCCAGTTCCCACCTTTTGTCTGTGTAATAATACCTAGTTCTTTATATCGCATACAAAGGTGGTCAGTATCATCATGCCCCTTTTACAGCTGGGAAAAGTGAGGCACAAGGCAGTGAAGTGATTTACCCGAAGTCACCCAACAGGCCAGTGGCAGAGCCAAGAATGGACTCCAGATCTTGAGTCCTAGTCTAGTGAGCTATCCACTAGGCAATACTAGCTTTGCACAGTAGGGACTGTCTCTTGTGTGTACCCTGATCTCAGGCAGGATCTCTATTTAGTGCCGGGTTTACAATGGCTCCAGTGGCTCCATGGAGCCGGGCCCATGCTCAGAAGAGGCCCCAGCCTGCTCCGCTTGCACTGCGCCCCGAGACCCCACTGGCTCCTCTCGCCCACCACTTGCTCCTCTCAGCCTGCCCGCTGGTTAGCCGAGGACTCCGCTCCACCCCCTAGCCCCACCCCCTGCTCCTCTCAGCCCCCCGGCCAGACCCCAGTGCACCTCCGGCTCTGGGCAGTCTCTGCTTCCCACCACCTGTGGGGCCCCACCTGTCCCCCCAGAGCTGAGCTGCCTGGGATTGGTGCAGAAGCCTGTCCAGTCTCAGCCAGGTGTGTGTGGGGGTTGGGGGGAAACAGTGTGGTGGGCTTGGCTGGGCCCCTCCAGGCAAGCACATCTTGAGGGACCCTGGCTGGGGCAGGTCCTGGCCTGGCTGATCGCAGCACTCCTGAGGGGCCAGAGCTATTCCCAGCCCTGGGACCAGTCCTGGCTGCGCTGCCAGCTCAGCCCAGCAGACACAGTCACCTCCCAGCAAGGCCAGTGAGTGCAGCCGAGAGGCAGGATGTGGCGGAGTAGGTCTGTGGGGCGTGTGTGTGGGGGTTCTGGGTTGTGAGGGGGCAGGGAAGATCTGTGTGTGTTGGGGCAATAGGAAGTGGGGGTTCTGTGGAGGGTGCTGGGCAGTTGTGGTGGGGCTGTGGGCAGAGGTGGTGTTGTGCAGGGCACTGTGTATTTGTGGGTGGGTCCAGGGGGGCTCTGGCCACAGGGAGTCAGGGGGTGTTGGAGGCCGTGTGGTGTGGCATGGGCCTGCCCCTGAGGGAAAGGGATACACAGGCAGCACAGGGCCAGGCAGGCCACTGTGTGTCTGGCAACTGCTGGTTTGTAAATAGTGCCCTCGCATTGGGCAGAGCAGAGCCACGCCTGCCATGCCATGCCCCATTGCCTGTAGCTGATCTCCCTGCACCATGCTCCATTGCCTCCTTGGAAGCCCACAAATATGTTTGGAGCCAGGCCCACAAAAGGTTAATCAAACCCTGGCGGCTACTATGCTGACAATGCATCTAGAGCTGCATGAACTGAGAGGGATGATCATCCCGGGCAGGGAGCTCCACAACCACAGTCTGGCTCCTGAGAAAGCCCTGCCTCTAACCCACCAGCCTCTTGTTACAGGCAGCTCCATTGTTCCTGCTGAGCACAGCCGTGGGCCTGGCTTACCTTGAGCACTGAAGGTCAGGGAGAAATCCTGACTCTAGCAAGATCAGTGGCAAAACCCTCACTGACTTTAATAGAGTTGAAGTTTTTACCCCAGCTCTATTACCACAGATTTGATTCACTGCCCACTGCAGAGCCAATGCTGTGCCTGGAGCCAGAGGTGATGCTGGCCTTGGAGCGGCTGCAGGTTGTTCAGCGCTGATGCCCTTGCAAGACTTTTTCTCCAAAACATTCGTTAGTTGCAGAATCCAGAATTAATAGCAAACAAGCCCAGACTCTGAACAACTTCTCTAAACCCCTTCCCAGTTGTTCAGCCTCCACTTCCTTCCCACTCCAGCTGTCCTCCTTTGGCTTAAAGTTCCAATTGTTAACGCTGGCTGGGAGGTGCTGCTTTGATCTCGATGTATGGCTGAGCTTTTAAACTATGCCCAAGTGTCTATAACCTATGAGGGAGACTTTCCTTCCACAATCCATACATCTATATCTACATAAACGCATAATAAACCACTGGTGGATCCACAGCCTGTTCCTGCTAAGCCACAGGGGCTGCCTTAGAGTCTGCAGCAATGGATGCCCCACCTCCTCTAGCCTATGCCTTTTTAGCAGTCTGGACAGTGGCAGTACAGGAAGGGTTAAAGATCCCTGAGTTGGCCCCCAGGGGAACAGGGTATGATAGCTGCATTGCTCAGCCTGATGAGGAAGCAGGGGTGGAGAGACAAGGAACCAGTTTGAATTCCCACATGTGTGAAAATGACTTTTCTTGCAGAGAAACTGGAACTGGATTTCTGCCTCTCAGGCTCAGTGGGAAGACAAACAGAATTTTTAAAATAAAAAGCCAATTTATGTCTTTCTACACCTAGAAGGTAGGCAATTGTCCTGTGGCCCACAGAACCCCTTATTTATCAGCCAGCTGCTCCTATTATCCCTAAAATAGAACTCCAGGCACTCCTACAAGAGCCTGCCTATATTCACAACTTAATCCTCAATTTGTTTAGTTTTGGTAAGTAAGTTTTTGGTAAGTGGCATGCCCTAGAGGAACTGCCAGGATTTTATCAGGGGGCTTCCCTCCAAATTGTGGAGGATATGGATACCCTTCTGCTCAAAGGATTGACCCTCAGGCAGTAATCCTTCAACAACAAAAATAATCTTTATTTAACACAATATTTCCTAATAAAGTAAATCTAAAACATATTAAGAAAACAGCAAATTTAAAATATATTAAAAGAAATACATTCATATTTGCTTAACAAAGGCATAGAATTCTGTTAGCACAGATGCACATTAAAGTACTCAAAATTTCAATATCCTACAACTGGAAAATAGCTTTAAGTGGTTACATTCTATATGCAGTGGCTAATTACATATAGGATGCTGACAGCAAGTTCTTAAACATATATACACAAATATCCAGCTTTATTATCCCATACACACCTATTCACTCAGTTTATTTCTTATTATGGGCTTACTTTCCTGTTGGTTTTCCTTCCCTCTACTCTAGGTCCTTCTGATCTGTCAGACCTAATTTTGTCACTGCTACTTTGCTTCTGCTCTCTGTCTTCTTATGATTTCAACTCTTTTAGTTGAGTTTCTTTTTCTTTTGCTTCTCCCACTCATTCCAACTACTTCCGCTCACGCTGAGGCAGACAAACTAACTAAAGCCAGTCAGCTCTCTGCCTTATACAGATTTTAGCTTATCCTGATTGGCTCTCTTTTAAATCCCAATCATTATCAGCCAATCAGCTTCAAGGCCTTCACCTGTCAATCAAAGCTGGACCTGATTGAAAACCTGTGCTCTTAAGGCTGGACCAGTTTGAAGACCTGTATTCTACCTAACTGACCCCTCTCTTCAGGTTTTTGGAGTGACCTTTATTTCACCCCCAACCTGCCTGCTTGCCCTTGGCCAGATCATTCTAAGGCCTCCAGTTTGGTTTTCCCAGCTTTGATTTCTTGCAGCTGCCATAACCGCTTAAAACCATCTTTATTAACTATTTAAAGCCTCATGATTATTAAACAAATTATACATGTATATGTACCTTAACATTATGTTTCACTGTCACCACTCCAATTTCACTAATTCAAACAAGCCCAAATCTCAATTTCTCCCTGCTTCAACTAATGGTAACAGGTCAGCACCTTTAGTTCTGGACAGTGCTTCTAGTGCTGTATTTCCACACAGAATAGGGCAGCCAGATAAATCTCTTGTATCAGTCCCCTCCTTATTGCATGATATACTTGTTTATCAATCCAACACCTAATTAGTGAGTTCAGTGGATGTTCAGTTTTGTCCAGCATTAGCTCAAGGCTCTCCATGAGACCAAGCAGATATTTCTTCTTGCTGGCACAATATCTTGTCATCCTTGATTCTGCCTCACTAAGGCTGCACACCTTGTGCACCATTATAACTCTTTTAAGACTTGTGGACAGTATATGCTCAGCTGCTTAAATTTCTCTTTGGGCAAGCACACCAAAATGATAAGTGTAATTGCCACCAAAACCTGAAACACCAAAATTATTACTAAAGGATGTAGAATAGCATTAAAGAATCCTGTTGCTGTGGGAGACCATTCCAAAAATATCTTCCACCACCTATGTTTAGTATCTTTTTGTATTCGTTCCATAACTTGTTCATCACTAGAGTGGTGTGCAATGATTATGACTTTCTGTGTACTTTCCTGAGCTTTCTGTAATTGTTTTTGTAAGTCAGAATGCCTTAATAGCTGCCTAACTAAACTTATATTCATTCCCAATGGTATTGGGTTAATCTTGATATATATCTGAAACTGATCTTTAATGTCTTCACTTTTTCTTTCAGGCAATGAAAAATTAAAATCACACCCTATTATAGTAGTTATATTGCATAGACATTGGTTTTCCTGAGGATCATGTGTTATGATAAACGATTAACTTCAAACCAGTTACACCAACCTCCAGTACATACACATTTCCTATATACACAACTACAGATCCATTAAGTGGAAAAGGATCGAGTGGGTAATGACATCTTCTCTTTTCTGAACTTAAACATATATCATATGGTTGTATAGTATCATAACTGCAAACATATCCAATACCCACACTCTTCCATGCAGGCTTCAAATTCCAGTTTTCCATACAAAGGTTTGTTTCATGCCCCACAATTTATGCTCCACTGGCTGCATTAAAGCGTCATTAACATTTAATCCTAATGCCAAAATCCATTCTATCACTATATAGGTGGTAATTTGATTTAATTGTACATCATGTGTAAAATTTATCATTTTCTACCAAGAATACAATTTTTGTTCAGAGATAGTAGCATATTTCTACGTAATGCTTATTTCTAAAGGCAAAATCCCACTCATTCCATCCCTTATGATGTCCTTTACCACATCATTAGTCCGTGTTTGTGCTTGTACACAAGCTAATGCCATAGATACATTGCTCTGTAATAGCAGTAATACGAACAGTGGAGGTAAGTGATCCACTTCTTGTAGCTTCTCCCATCCAGGGAGCAAACTAGCTATCAGCCGATGGCTAGTGCTTATCTCATTTAAAGTTGTTTTAGGGGGTTTAGGCTCCCTGTTCTGAAGCACTACTAAATCAATTTGTTCTTTCTATTTTTGCTATTGGGGTTGATCGGAATTTTGGCTGCCATACTATCCCCTCCTTGGTTCCTTTCTCAGCCTGTTCATCTGCCTTGCTATTCTACTGAGCTCTTTCAAGGTTTCTTCTATGAGCGTTCACTTCGTCCATTAATACTAGTTGCACAGGCGTTGACTCCATGGGTGCTCTGGGGCTGGAGCACGCACAGGGAAAAAAAAAATTGCCACTGGCAGGCAAGCTCTCCTCCCCCTCCCCCAACCTCACCGCATCCTCACTCCTCTGCCTACCTCCCAGCACTTCCCACCTAGCTGTTTGGCAACATTAGCACGCTCCGGAAGGGAGGGGGAGGAGGCGGGGTGGGGATTTGGGGAAGGAGTTGGAATAGGGGCAGGGAGGGGGATGAGTTGGGGCAGGGGCTTTGGGGAAGGTGTTGGAATGGGGGCGGGGTGGGGCAGAGGTGGGAAGAGGAGGGGCAGGGGTGGGACTTCATAGAAGGAGTGGAGTGGGGGTGGGGTTGAGGGCAGAGGAGGGGGGTTGAGCACCCATGGGGAAAAAGGGGAAGTCAGCGCCTATGACTAGTTGGCTACCATTATTCAACATATCTATTCCTATTATTCCATTGCCATCCAAATTTATCAGGCCAAATTGTCCTATTCCTCGATTTGTTCCTAACCAAAGAGATATTGGCTAGCTAAATGGCACTTTACTTTCTGTTTCATTAAATCCTTGCAATCTTTTTATTGCTACTGGTGGTCCAAATAAATTCTTTTTACCCGTACCAAAAGTGGCACTTGTGTCTATTAACATATTTTGTTTGAATGCTCTGCTATTAATCACCACATAAATTGTGGGTCTTCCACATTCAACCCATTTTAAATGTGCCACTATGTCAGCATGATCGTTTGCTGACAATGGGGAGCTAGGGAGGCGAACCGCCGCCTGTACTTGGTCTTTGGAGCATGGGGGAGCCATAGGTTTGCTCATGACTTGCCAATCTCGGAAACAATTCTTTAGTGGGTAGCCTATCAATCTGATCCAGAGGCTCATACTGTAGCAATTTTCTCCAAAGCCAATTTCTGCCCGGATCAGAAATTCTCTTCTTTTCACAAGAGGCAAGACTTTTATCTTTGCCCTCTTCTTTCCTTGGTTCCCCTTTGTTTATTTTGCGGGTTCCTCTTTTCCTTGTGGCCCATTGTTGGGGAAAGTTATCAGCAGTGCACCTTGAGTTTTTTCTTTGGAGGTGGCCATCCTTTCTGTATTTTACCTACAACTTTTCCTAGACTGTTTAAAGCAGTATATGAATTATTAAACATTACTGCTGTTTTCATTGTTAAACCAAATTGTGACATTAACGTTCCTTCTGATTGTGTTACATCACATGGTACCTTCCCATCCAGAGTCAACTCGGGATTTCCATGCACTAATTTCCAAGTCATACATGACTCTGTTTTTTCTTTTACCCATTGTTTCTCTACAGAATCAGAATCCCCTACTGGGAAGAAAAACTTCACTTCTTTTCAGGTTATTGATATTACTTCCATAAGGAAGTCCAGAAAAAGTTTTCTGAACTCGTATGAGAGCTAACCCTGTTCTTTTCCTCCAATTTTCTGAACACAACTTTCTTAATGCTCACTACAGCACTGCTTTCCAGAGCTGCACTGTTTACTACCTTCATAGCCTGCAGTTCTTCCTATAAGCAAGCTGCTTCCTGTTGGCAATATGCATGGTTAGCCAAAGTCTGCTGGTGTTGAGAGTTCAGAACCACATTTACTGCTTGCCGCCTTTGTGGCCATTTTCCTTTAAACGGCAATCTTGCTCCCTTAATATTTCAAGCCATTGCTGATCACAAGTGCATTACAGCTATTTAATCTTCAGCTCAACCTTTAAACCTTTCTCTTGTAATGTGGAGTTCTCAGTGAATGCTCAGTGAGAGAGGGACTGGTTACCAGCATAGCCGGGCAGAATTCCATGGCTGCTGCCACATCCACCCTTCGCCCACTGGGGAAGCAGCAGCTAAGCCTCAGTGGGCATCCTGCCCCTCTGCTATGGGCTCCACCACCTACTTTTACCATAGTGAACCTGGCCAGGCAGGCTCTTCCACATGGGCCTGTTACTGCAGCAGCTGCAGGACTCACCTTGGGCGATGGATGCAGCAGCTCAGCGGGTTGCTAGGCCTGCTGGTGCAGCGAGGCAACAGGATGCACCACTTGGGCCTGGCAGGGCTGGAGGCAGAAGTCCAGCAGCTGAGGGCTGCCAACTGCAGGTGATGGGCTGATGTATTGCTACAGGAATCGGCCTGGCAGGAGGTATCAATCAAAGGCCCTGTTATCATATACACGTCTGGCCACACCTCTAAGTGTCCCTCATGCCCAGCCTTAATCCTCACTACCAACCCCTTTCACCTCAGGCCCACCTCACCACTCTATCCTTCTTTTTACAGATCTACCCCTCACCGAACTCCATGCTGCCCCCTCCCAGCAGTTCACTCTACACACAGGCGCCCCCCTGCTTCCTTATGTGTGGGAGGGGTCTCCGGGATGAGCCTGGGGCAGGGGCTTGGAGACCAGGAGGCAGCTCTGAACTGGGGCTTGGGGTGCAGGAGGGAGTGCGAGGTATAGGCTCTGGCCAGAAGGCGCTTACCACAGGTGGCTCCCAGTGGCAATGCAGCGAGGCTAAAGCAGGCTCCCTGCCTGCTCTGGCCCCACACTGCTCCCGGAAGCAGCTGGCATGTCTCTGCAGCCCCTGGGGTGGGGGAACTGCAGCCAATGGAAGCTGCCAGGCAGCTCTTGTGGGCGCAGGCAGCGCACCGCTACCCGCTGCCCCTTTTAGGGCCGCAAGCCTTCACCCCATGCTGAATGGCTCCTGCACAGCATGTCTGACTCCCTCCCGCCATCCCCATCAGTGTTTGTTGTGGACACTCCCTGCGCCTTACACTCCTCTGGACGGAAAGGAGAGAGCAGGACACAGGCTTGGCTGGTATTTTTCCTTCTGTTTCATTTCTTTGGCCAGAGCAAACATGGATGGATCAACAAATCCCTTCTCACATACAGCCCTGATGTGGTTGGGAGCAACCCACCGTCATTCTCTCCTAGCTGTTGCCAGGAACCTCTTCAACGAGTTAGTGGGTCACCTGAGGCAGATTTCCAGGAAGAGTCCAGCAAAATAAAAACCCACCCTCATTTAATAATCAGGCCCCTGGTTGTCAGTCTCAGCAGAAAGGCCAATTGGCTAAGGCAAGAATGATGAACACCCACCTCAAACCTGGGGAAGAGGCTGATTGATGGGAGAGAAGCTTGGCCTACTCTGGGCAGCTGGGACTTCTGTCCTTTACCACAGAGCAAGGTGACAGACCATTACAAATATAAGACAGCAACAGACAGCATCCAGTCCACAACCTAGGTCCCTACAAACCCAAATCTTTTTCTATGTGGTTCCTCCTAACAGAAGATCAAATTATTGAGGCACAGGCCAAGACAGACACCAGAAGCAGCTCCCTGCTCCAGCCCTGCTCCCACCAGCTCCACAAGCCAGTGAGCATGCGCTGCTTAAGAGGATTCAGAGTTTTTAACAGCAGGGGCTTCAGTTCACACATTGGCTCAGCTGCCACGGTCTTTGGTTTCTTTGCCCCAAGTCAGGCAGTATGAGGACACCTCATCCCTGTCTCATTAGGGCTTATGACACCTCCCAGCGCTGTGGACTGCAGCATCCTGCCTCGCTGGTGCAAGAGAAGACAATGCAGGTTTCCATTTAAGAGCAGCCGTGCGGCCCGTGAGTTTGTATAACCCCTCGTGAGTGAGCCAGCGTGTACTCAGCGCAGCTGATCAGCCTACTGCAGGGAGGAGAGGTGATGGGGAGTCCCCAGCGAAGGATGGGCAGGATAGCTGGGAAAGCAGTGTCAGGACAGATGGACCCCAGAAAAACAGCTGCCCTGAGCCTTATTCCCCTTCCCCTCTGCAGCCTCACTCCTTGGCCTCTTTGCGCTGCGCCTGGCGTTTCTGCAATAGTGCCAGCGTATCCCGCTTCTCGATCCGGCGCAGTTGCTTCTTCTTGGCACGCTTCAGCTTGAGCGGATTCCGGATCTGCAGGGGTGGAGCAAGAGAGAAAAGCTGTGAACCTCAGCCATGTAGCAACACAGACCAAGGACAACACACCTATTGGAGACAGCTGGTCAGAAAAAAATGGTGCTGTGGTATCTCATGAGAGGGTAGTTCAAGTGCCTCATAATCCCAATTCTCCTCTATAGGCTGGGCTGCCTGGTCAGACTACATCTCCCATGATGTATCGCACTGTCCCTTCGTGAAGATGTACATCGTGGGCAGGCCTGCCTGTGGTGCATCATGGGAAATGTAGTCTGGCTGGTGAGTCCAGCTGAGAGGAGAATGGGAGCATGAGGTAACTCGACTATAACTCCTAGGAGGCACCACGGCAGCTTTTCCAAATGGAAGCATTTCAGTTTTTCAAATAAAAAGACAACTCTCACAAAAAAAGTTAATCCTCCAATTTTCAGTCAAAAACAGTTTCAGTGGAAAGTTGTCAGCCACTGGGGCAAGTCATGCATCTCAGGGCCAAACAGGGCTGTTCCCTAAAGTATGGCCAGCAGGGCTCTGCCTAGTCCAGTCCTGAATAGTTTTAGTGACGGGCTCCCCCTGCAACAAAAGACTATTCCAGAGGCTCACAGATTCCAGTATGAGGCTGTTTTCCCCACTATCCATCTGGATTTCTCTCTCTCTCAGTTCATTTTCACCTTCTTGTCCCTGCCTTGGGCATTCAACAAGAACCAGTCTCTGCAGGGAGAAAAACTGGGTTGACCCCAGAAACTTACGAAAATCTGGCATGTGTCAGGCCTCAATACAAATATAGTTTCCCAAGCAGCATCCGGGACAGAGTGAGCATGGGAGGAGGAGCCCCCCAAATGAATCCGTCTCATGTTGGAGAGGGGGGTTCTGGGTCTCCCTGCAGGAGAGGCTAAAAAGCCAAGACACTCACCACTTGTACGATCTCCGCCTTCCGCTCGTTCTCCAGGCGTCGTTTCAAGTTCTCTTCCCGGCGCTGCTTTTTCTCCTGCAGAAACAGCAGAGTGAAGCTTTGATTTTATATCCTGCTGTTCACGGAAACTGCATTCTAGGGTCATGCCCAGGAATGGGAGCAAAGGGGGAAGAGGCAGAGAAGGTGAGAGGGGTCCCCAGCAAAGATTGGAAGAGATGGAATCACCGAGGCAAGAGAGCACAGGGAGGGCAAGAGCTGCAGAGGAGAAGGCTCTTGCACCAGGCCCAGTGAGATTCTCTCTAGGTACTTTAATAATTAGTTGTGTGTCTGTGTGTAGAGATCCTTCCTGGGAGACAGGGGAGTCAACATGATGAGTGGGTGAGAGCTACATAATCTAGGGACCTCTGCTATGGAAGTTCTGACTCCTTTCATAAGCCTCTCCCACTGGGAGGTGGTTTTGCTGCTTCAGTAGAATGCTGGGATCGGAGTTGCAGTTAGGAAAGGCGATCTCAGGTGGCCAGAGACAGTCCCACACAGGGCTCTGAATAGCAGGACACACCCCTCGCTTTGCACTCTGTATCCAAAGAGGTGACAGAAAAGACAGTAAATGACAGGAAACTGGGGTGATGAGTTTGTGGGGACCTGTGCCACTCAGTAGTAGGGCTGCTGCATTATGTACCAGAGGGAGCTTATGTACCAACTATTGGGCTTAATTCCTTGAAGCGGTTCCAGCAGGCGGCACTATTCTATACTCTCCAAAGTTCTTTTTCTTAGTGCACAAGTCTTATAGATTTAAAAGTCAGACAAGACCATTGTGGTCATCTAATCTGAGCTTAAATTTTCACCTAATTTCTAGTCTGTGTTTATCTAGCTTACATGTCCAGTCATAGGATCTTGTTATGCCTTTGTCTGGTAGGTTAAAGAGCCTCTATCAAATTTCTGTTCCTTACGCAGGTACCCACAGACTCCGAAAGAGAAGATCAAGGAGTGGCTTGAAGTGTAGCACACTGGAATTGCAGAGCATCCCTTTAAACAGCGTGACTCTTAGACAGACATGCTGGGTCATTTAGTTTTGGGTTATGCAAGGTTCTGGGAGCAATGATCCTGGGAAGGAGGAAGCCACATCAGTGGTGGGTGTTTGCTCACTGCTCTGATCAGTCAATTCTGGAGGCAGAGTTGTTCGCTGGGAACCAGGCTCTAGTGCTGTTCAGAAATTCCTGGATAGATTTGCCCTGTATGCTATTTGACCACCTCTGTTCCAGAACTGGTGTATGGGTAAGCTTGGAAGTATTAGATATTTATCAGTAAATGCTGATTTCACCATACATGCTGAAATTGATGAAAAAATATTTCCAGCAATAGTAACTGAAAGGTACAGATAGGCAAAGAAAGAAAAGTGCTGCTTGAGAACTTATTAGGGTTTGAGTTAAAGCTATTTACTTTGCATATTGACATGATGTTGACAATTTGTGTTTGAACAGCGATAAAGCTTTAGCTCTTTGAATCCCAGTGTTTGACTAAACACCAAATAATTATTGTCTGACCCCCTCCCTCATAATTTCATACAATTGTGAAAATTTAAATAAAAAAACAGAAACAATGTTTAAAAATAAACATTGATATTATCCATCAAAATGATAAAAATTGAATTATTCCAAACCTTTGTATAGCATAAATACATCAAAGTCACACTTAGATTATACCCAGACTGTGTCTCTGATTTCTCCTCTACTGGAGAAATAAACGGCAAGGCCCCCAAACTTTTGCTACCATCCAACAGAGGGGTGACACTGGTGTCAGAAGAAGAGGCAATACAATAAGTTGTATGGTATGAAGGAAGAGAGAAGGTGGCTAGAGCAAGGAAGAGACAGTCCATGTGATAGCCTGGAGCTAGGATGTGGCAGGTTTTTAAACAAAACTGGATCAGGAACTTAACAGAAAACCAGTAGAATTGTTTCAGGACGGAAGGGATGGGATCAGCACATGGCAGTAGGTGTCTGCACATGCAAACTGCCACCCCAGATAAAAGGTGAGATCCATCCAGCCCAATATCCTGTCTCTGAGAGCAGCCCACACCAGATGCTGCAGAGAAGGTGCAAACAACCCACCTATGGAACAATCTCAGCAAACAGAAGTTTCCCCTGGAGCCCAGGCTGCGCTTAGTGGTCATATTATATTCTGACAGGTTTCAGAGGAACAGCCGTGTTAGTCTGTATTCGCAAAAAGAAAAGGAGTACTTGTGGCACCTTAGAGACTAACCAATTTATTTGAGCATGAGCTTTCGTGAGCTACAGCTCACTTCATCAGATGAAGCTCATGCTCAAATAAATTGGTTAGTCTCTAAGGTGCCACAAGTACTCCTTTTCATATTATATTCTGACACAGCAGGCTTGATACCTCATATTTGTATCCCCTCGTATTTATCATTATCCCACAAAGAGGAATGTGGAGAACAGGAACACAGGGAAATCATAGGAAGGAGAGCCAAAGATCGGGGTGGAGCTAAAGCAGCAGCATGCATAGGCAATGCTGCAATGGAGGCAACAAGGTCCCAGACACTGGAGGAGGGTGGTGGAGAGGAGAGAGGTCAGGCTCAAGAACAACACTTACATTAGAGGCAAACAAGAGGCAAGCTGAGGTGGGAACTAGAGCTGGGGTGAATGAGGGAGGCTTCTCTAGCCTGAGAGAAGCATTTCTGCACTGGAGACTTAGAGCTGAAGGAACTGAGACAGAACAGCAAGGTTACTTGATCACAACAGGTAGAGGAGTGGCAATTCCAACATCAGGATACCATAAGATCTTGGGGTTCATTAACTCATGCAGGCCTCCTCTTGGAGCCTAGTTTACTACTGTGATAACATGTGGGTGCGGGGAAGGGGAGACACACACAAAGGTTTGGGATAATTGGGCAATGAGCTGTGCTGCACCATCCGCTCCTGTTACCTCACGCTCCCTCTGTTTTTCTTCCTGAAGATGCCGGGCAAAATCCTTGACTATTTTCTTCTCCTGGCGCTCTTTCATCTTTCGCTCCCAGGAGGTGCGGAGGGGCTTGTCCTGAATCATATGGGAAAACCTGAAAAGGGGGGGGGGGGGGAGAAGAAGAGAGAATTCCCATCAGCCACCAACACACAGAGGCGAGCATTTGCATTAAGACAGCTTCACACAGCAACAGGCCAGGAACGGGCTCCAGAGCACTTTTACAAGCGGGAGAAGCGTTATCCCGGGTGCCCATTTAGCGTTAGCGCCCATCTCCAATTGCGTCTGTTTGTAACGCATCACGGGGAAGTCACAAGCCATCCTAGCTGCCAGCGCCTCAAGCCTCCTTACGCCACCCCCACCCTACCCATGTCTCCTCCCTCCGCCAGCCCCCACGCTCCATGGGCCTGCTCCTGGCTCCCCGCCGCACCCCACCTTCTCGCCCGGCCTCCCCGCTCACCGCTTCTTGCCGGGATCCTTCCACACCCGCCCGGATTTGGGTTTCCCCTTGGGAACCGCCGGCGCCTCCTTGCCCGGATTCCGCCGCTGCAAGGCCGGGGCCGCCCCCAGGGTCTCGCCGCGGCCGGGCTCCCCGGGGGTACCCGCTTGCCCGTCCTCGGGGCCGAGCGGGGGAGCCGGGGGCTCCTCCCGGGGACGGTCGGGCGCCGGCTCTAGCCCCTGCGCCTGCAGCCTCCGGCTCCTCCGCAGCCGCCTGGCGCCCTGGTCCGGCTCCATCGCCACGTGCCCGGCGGCAGCCTCCCGCCGCGTCCCTCCCAGCGAGGGCAGCGGCCAGCGACGTCATTAGCGCGCGCGACACGCACCGTTCGCAAATCTACGCGTGCTCAGAATCAAAGCGGACCGACGTCAGGTGCCATGTTTGTGAGGGGAACCAGTGACGAGCCCGCCCCCGTCCGCCATGTTTGTGAGGGGAACCAGTGACGAGCCCGCCCCCGTCCGCCATGTTTGTGAGGGGAACCAGTGACGAGCCCGGCCCCCGTCCGCCATGTTTGTGAGGGGAACCAGTGACGAGCCCGCCCCCCGTCCGCCATGTTTGTGAGGGGAACCAGTGACGAGCCCGCCCCCCGTCCGCCATGTTTGTGAGGGGAACCAGTGACGAGCCCGGCCCCCGTCCGCCATGTTTGTGAGGGGGCATCAGAAAGAAACTTTCTAACGGCAGAAACCTGAACACCCTTCCCCCGCCCTTGCTCCGCCCACTGCCCCGAAGTCCCGCCTCTACCCACCACTTTTTCGAGGACTCGCCCTTTCCCCCCTTTTTCTCTCCTAACCTTGCTCACTTTCCCATTTTCACCAGGCAGAGAGTGAGGGTGGGGCCGGGATGAGGAGTTTGGGGTGGAGGAGGGGGGCTCTGGGCTGAGGCAGAGGGTGGGAGTGTGGGGGGGGGGGTGAGGGCTCCGGCTGGGGTGCGGGCGCTGGGGTGGGGCCGGGATGAGGAGTTTAGGGTGGAGGAGAGGGGCTCTGGGCTGAGGCAGAGGGTGGGAGCGTGGGGGGGGGTGAGGGCTCCGGCTGGGGTGCGGGCGCTGGGGTGGGGCCGGGATGAGGAGTTTAGGGTGGAGGAGGGGGGCTCTGGGCTGAGGCAGAGGGTGGGAGTGTGGGGGGGGGGTGAGGGCTCCGGCTGGGGTGCGGGCGCTGGGGTGGGGCCGGGATGAGGAGTTTAGGGTGCAGGAGGGGGGCTCTGGGCTGAGGCAGAGGGTGGGAGTGTGTGGGGGGGTGAGGGCTCCGGCTGGGGGTGCGGGCGCTGGGGTGGGGCCGGGATGAGGAGTTTAGGGTGGAGGAGGGGGGCTCTGGGCTGAGGCAGAGGGTGGGAGCGTGGGGGGGGTGAGGGCTCCGGCTGGGGTGTGGGCGCTGGGGTGGGGCCGGGATGAGGAGTTTAGGGTGGAGGAGGGGGGCTCTGGGCTGAGGCAGAGGGTGGGAGTGTGTGGGGGGGTGAGGGCTCCGGCTGGGGTGCGGGCGCTGGGGTGGGGCCGGGATGAGGAGTTTGGGGTGGAGGAGGGGGGCTCTGGGCTGAGGCAGAGGGTGGGAGCGTGGGGGGGGTGAGGGCTCCGGCTGGGGTGCGGGGCGCTGGGGTGGGGCCGGGATGAGGAGTTTAGGGTGGAGGAGGGGGGCTCTGGGCTGAGGCAGAAGGTGGGAGCGTGGGGGGGGTGAGGGCTCCGGCTGGGGTGCGGGCGCTGGGGTGGGGCCGGGATGAGGAGTTTAGGGTGGAGGAGGGGGGCTCTGGGCTGAGGCAGAGGGTGGGAGCGTGGGGGGGGTGAGGGCTCCGGCTGGGGTGCGGGCGCTGGGGTGGGGCCGGGATGAGGAGTTTAGGGTGGAGGAGGGGGCTCTGGGCTGAGGCAGAGGGTGGGAGTGTTGGGGGGTGAGGGTGGTGCTTACGTCAGGTGGCTCCCGGGAAGCAGCACCGTGTCCCTTCGACTCCTAGGCAGAATAGCGGCCACTGGTAGTTCCATGCACTGCCTGTGCCTGCAGGCGCTGCCCCCGCAGCTCCCATTGGCTGCAGTTCCCGGCCAATGGGAGCTGTGGAGCCGGTGCACAGGGCAGGGGCAGTGTACGGAGCCCCCACGGGCACCCCTATGCCTAGGAGCTGGTGAGACATGCTGGCCACTTCCCAGGATATGCAGAGAGCCTGGCAGGTAGCCTGCCTGCCCTGCTGATGCCAAGTGGACTTTTAACAGCCCAGTCAGCAGTGCTGATCGGAGCTGCCAGGGTCCCTTTTCGACCAGGCATTCTGGTAGAAACTGGACATCTGGCAACCCTACAGGAAAGGGAAGGAGGGAACCCTCCCCAAACCTCTACCCCAGCCGTACTTGTGATGGGCTCTCAGGCCCCCCCTTCCTGATGTCTGCCATTTTTGTGAGGGGCACACAAGTGTATTGTTTTGCTAGGCCAGTGTGTGACATTGACACTTCCTTGAAACGGGGAGGAACCCCCCAAAACTGACCCTGGCCCCCATTGTTATGGTGACACTGAAAGCATTAAGATCAGCTTAGGATGCGTTTTGCTTTTATTTCATTTGACCAAATCTGACTTGTCATGCTTTGATTTATAATCACTTAAAATCTATCTTTGTAGTTAATCATTTTTTTTATTTATTCTCTCTGAAGCAGTGCGTTTGGTTTGAAGCATGTCAGAGACTCCCCTTGGGATAACAAGCCTGGTGCATATCAATTTCTTTGTTAAATTGACAAACTCATATAAGCTTGCAGTGTCCAGCGGGTATAACTGAACTCTGCAAGATGGAGGTTCCTAGGGTTGTATCTGGGACTGGAGATATTGGCTAGTGTAATTTGGTTGCACAATCCAAGGAGCAGCTGACATGCCAGAGGCTGTGCGTGAACAGCTCAGGTGTGGGGGTTCTCACAGCAGAGCAGAGTAAGGCTGGCTCTCAGAGTCAAGGATTGACTAGCAGATCACCGGTCTGGCTAACACCAGAGGGGAATGTCACACCCTCTCCATCCCTACCTCCTCCCTCCCCTCCATCCCTGCCACCTTCATCCTTCACCCTCCATCCCTGCCACCTTCATCCATGCCTCTTTCTCTCTCCCTCCATTGCCACCTCCCCCCATCGCTGGGAAGGAGGAACAAAGCATTTCACAGAATGATATCACTTTTAAACTGAAAAGGGAATTGCACGGGGAGAGGCTGGTATATACTGAAATGAGAACACAGGTGTTCAGAACAGCAGCATTATACAGTTATTCTCCTCAGCGCTAACGCTGATATTGCCATGTGCTGGTTATATGCAGAAAAGACATTCATTGTGTGATTGATACAAGAAAAGGCGTGAGCTCTAAGCAGAATCCTGAAGCTGGCCCGTTTACCATTTTAAACAAGGCAGAGTGTCCCATGGACCTCATTTTCCAGAGATTGAGATTCATAGCTGTTAAGGCCAGAAGGTGCCATTAGACCATTCTAGTCTGACCTTCTATAGAACATAGGCCAGAGAAGTTCACCCAGTTTCCTCTGTACTGGTGTATGTAAAACTGTTTAGCGGTTTGTATTGTCACCACTTTCTTGATTCTCTTATGTTACAGTTTGTCAGCACCATATTGACCAGAATAGTTGGACGCTCTATTCCAGAATAAAAGTGATTTCATTCCAGAATAAGTTACTCCATTTTGAAAGCACATTCTGGAGTAAAGTGACTTTTATTCTGGAATAGAATGTCCAGATGGGGAGCTATTCTGAAATAATTATTCTGGTCAGTTTCCTTATGTAAACAAGCCTTTTCCTAAGGAATAAATGTCCAGGGTATTTTGAAGTGACATTTTGCAATAAGCCTCTTTGTTGACATTCCTCAACTAAAGGAACATTTATTCTTTAATTTTTGACTTAAAATGTTGTTTTGTTTCGGATACTGAAAAAGTTCAGTTTTCCTTTGGGTTTGGGGATGTTTTGGAAGTTCCTCATTCAGTGACTTTCTCCTCTTTGTTTTTTTCAATGGAGGAAGCAAAAAAAGTTGTTGAAATCCCCCCCCCCCCGCTCCCTTTTTTAAACTTCTTCCAACTTGGAAGAGTTAAAAAAGTGAAAAGCTCCTTCACACTTTTTAGCTTTTTTGAACTGAAAAGATGTGAAAAAAGTTTTTTAAAAAGTCATTAAAAGTGCTACTTTCTCTAATTTGTAATTTCTTTTATAACTGAAAAAAAGTGTGAACAAGTGTTTAATTTTATTTTTACTTTTCTCAACTTGTTCCCCATTTTTCTTCACTGGAAAAAGTGAAAAAAGGGAGTGGGGGGTAACTACCCCATTTTCTCCAGTTTTCAAAAGCTGAAATGAAAGTTTAAATTGAAATACATTGAAATTTTTAATTTCAAATCTACATTTTGAAATGCAACAATAAATCTCTGTTGTTTTGTTTCAAAGTGGCATTTCAAAACTAAAGCAAAAAAAACCACACTAATTTTGTTTTGAAATGCCCCACAGAAAACCAACATTTTCTAATGGGAAAATTTCAAAACACAATTTTTCCTGTGGAAAGATCCATGGGACAAATTCTGGTGTTCTGATCCGGTCTATATAATACTTTTCTGCTGTCATTGCCTAACAGCTGACCCTAAGCAGCACTGAATATCTGCAGTGCCCAGTGCAGTCAACTAGAACTGTGAGTACTGAGTAGTAAAACTGGGTAGAAAACAGTTCCCATCTGGATAAAATTTTTGAGATTTTTCTTGGCCCAAATTGGGATGAAATGTCAAAATCTCAAAAAAATTTGCAAACTGAAAAATCTGAAATTTTTTTTAGTTTCGATCGATCAAAACATTTAATTTTGATTTTTATCTTTTTAAATTAACTTTTCCCCCCTATCATTAGCATAGATTTCTAAACAAAAACTAGTTTTGCATTGAAAAAAAATATTTTTTTTGTTTCAAAAATAAAATTCTAACTCTTTTGTCCCAAAATTTTTCAAAACAAGAAGTTCCTCAAAACCACCCTTTTCCCACAAACCGTTTTGGTTTCAGTGAATTGGCATTTCCACACACACACACAAAAAAAATTTTTTTGCTGAAAAATTCTTGACCAGCTCTAGTCAGTACCACTCAGAATCCAGACTGGTAAGGTTCTAATCTCTAGCGACCACTTCTCAAATTCGAGAGGTAAGCTTGGTTTCGAATGGACAGATAGGGATGTAGATAGACATAACATTCTGTGGGAACATTTGTTATAATAATACTGTAAGCTCAGGTTAATATAGCAAAAAATAAAAAAATTCATCTTTAGCATTTGCATGGTACCCAGTAGAATGAACCTGGCAATACACACAAGAGGTGGATTCTTGCTGGAGGTATGAAGGGAACAAGGA